AGTGTGCCCCCCCGGGGAGGTCAGCGGGGCTGGCAGCACTAATGCCCACCCGGGGAGGTCAGCGGGGCTGGCAGCACTAATGCCCACCCGGGGAGGTCAGCGGGGCTGGCAGCACTAATGCACTGGGGGCTGCACAGCTCACGCCTCACCTTGAGCATTACAGTTCCTCTGTCATCTCGCAGCAGTTGAGCCCCAATTGTCTCTTAAGAAGTCAAAAGGTCTAATCAACCTAATGAACAAACTCAGTCATTAGTACTTTGGGAAGGAAGTGTGTTAGCACTCCGATGGTGCCCCAGCTGTGGTGGGGGTGTTGTGGGAGCAGAGCATGGAAATTCAGTGGCCCACGGAAAGGTGACAGACACTCTCCTAAAGGAGTGATTTCTTCCCTCTTTGAATGAGCCCTGTCCTGTGCTTAGAAACTTGCAACTGATCCTTTTCCTCAGTCATTTTAATGGCCTTGTCCTGACTTTACACAGCCAGTGATAAATGAGATTGGTAGTTTAAAGCTTTCCAAAATGGAATGATACCACCCTTTTAAAGGGGGTGCTTTAAGATTTCTTCCTATCTAATCTTAATTTTGAATATTCAACAGATGAAGAGTCCAAATGTATTTTAGTATGAGTATGAAAAAGCCTCCATATTAATTATACATCAGTATAATTTAGTCATTCTTTGTTACTTTTTTATTTTTAATTCAATAAATATAATTGCTTGCTCTGTTATGTATTTGTAGATGTGTGGAGGAAATTTGTGCCCTTATGGCAGATGCACAGCAGATTTCAGCATTACCATAACTCATTAAAATCGTATAAAAGTAGAGCTGCAAAACAATTTCTGTCTTCTGCCAACAAGATTGTGAAAAAGGGAAATTCCACTCATTCAGTATGAGTGGAATCTTTCAGGACTGGAGAGAACAGAGTGGACATTCCTGACCTGCTCTTGCTGGGTCTGCTGAGGCAGATGAGCAGAACAGACAAAATTCAGGTGACTGTGTGTCATATTTTGGGGACAGTAAGTAAAGTCACCATTTTGGATGATGAAAGTTCTTCACCAGCTTTAGCAATATGTGCATAAAGCCACTGTGGTTTATTTGGATAATACACCATTCGCCCATTTCCAGCGTTTCAGTCCCGTGGCTGGAACCTGGCAATAAAGTCCAGTTCCCTCGGGGTTTGGTGGGGCTGTTTGGGTTCCCTGTGTGTTCTGGAGGGGAAGGGGTGAGCTGGGGGCAGTGGTGACCATGGCTCAGTCAGAGCTGTTGCAGTGTGGTGCTGTGCCCTCTGCAGGGGGAGCCCATCACGTTCTGTGAGGAGGCGTTCGTGTCCCACCGCTCCGCCGTCATGAGGCAGTTCCTGCAGAACGCCATCCAGCTCCAGCTCTTCAAGCAGGTACTGCCTCCTTTGCCCTGGTGCAGGTTCTCTGACAGTCCAGGGTGGGGGTGAGGGCTGTTTCTATATTCCTTGATCTGTCAGCCACAGAAGGAAGAAAAATGGTGTAGTGCAGCACCACAGTTCTTTCCTGCTGGCTTCTCTCAAACCCAGTGCTGAGGCTTTATGTGTTGGAAGAGGTGTATGGGTTTTGCCACTGAAGGGGTCTGAGCACACCTAGACCCAACTTGTCTGCTGTAAACTTGGTACAGAAAGCACATTACTGTAAAGCATGGCATTAGTGCTTGGGGGCAGCTGAAAACATGGCTGTGTAGCCACACATTTCTGGTTTGTAGGGACACAGCACACCTTGGGCAGTGGGAAACATCTGGCCAGCTTTGGTGGTGTTCTCACTCTATCTCGAGTCCCTGCCCTATATAAACACAGAGGTTATTGCAGCTGATGCAGGATGGAGTCTTTCTGGAAAGCTGAGGAATGGGGTGGATGATGCATTTGTGCTCTCCTTTGGGGTGGGTGATGTTTGTGCTCTCCTTTGGGGTGGGTGATGTTTGTGCTCTCCTTTCACCTGCTGCAGTTCATCGATGGGCGCCTGGACCTGCTGAACTCCGGGGAGGGCTTCAGTGATGTGTTCGAGGAGGAGATCAACGCCGGGGAATACGCAGGTAGGAAATGGGCTGTTAAGGGAATTTCCGACACTGCTGTTGACCCACCCTCTGTGGGCCATCAGGAGGTAATTGGGCATTGCTGTTGGTAAATAACTGAGGCTCAGTGATCCTGGTAGCCTGAAGTGTCTTAAATTGTTGTTCTTTCCTCTGTCAAGAACTTAGAATAATGTATTATAGTTTGAATAAAACTTGTTCAGTCTTAGAAAACCTCAGCTTTACCACTTGAATAAAGTACAACTGAAAGAGTCCTTGCAGTGGAGAAAAACCCTTGGCTTTACTCAGAACCACCTCATATTTCTTAGTGATCTTTAAAAAATCCCAGTGTTCTCAAATGTCTGAGAGAACACAGAAAATAGAAAAGTGTAAATCTCTCCTCAGTATTTTGTTGTTGTGTCTCCCTGAAAGAGAAGTCTGGGTGTCCTGTTCTGTCCCTGCTCCCAGAACCACTGAATGCCAGCACTTCACATTTTGAGCTTGTTTCCTGTTGCAGAGAGTTAATTTGTTTGTTTGTGTCTGTGATTCTCTCCAGGTAGCGACAAACTGTACCACCAGTGGCTCTCCACAGTGAGGGTAAGGACACAATCCTTCCAGCAGACACCTCAGTTCTCGTTGGCCCTTCGTGCAGCTCTGAGGGAAACACTGTCACACCGAAAAATTCTGGATAAAGCTCAGTGGTGTGAAGTGTTGAATGGGGGCACCACTGTTTGGGGTGGGGTTTGCATCTCTGGTTATTGCCAAATTATAAATGTGCCAAATGTATAAATTAAAAGTGTAAATACTTTTAGAGAATAATAAGTTGTTGTAGAGGATATTAAAAGCTGCTTTCAATGCCTAAAATGTGGTGTATTGAAAAGTAAAATATTTCAGGTTTATGGGTATGAGTCAATAGAAAAGATTGTTTGGATTTTTTTCTGACAGAACTGAGTGTTGCAGCACTCCATCTACTCCTGTCCTGCTTGTGAATGGAATTATATTCCTTACACAAAGTGCTGGGCTCAGTATAATCTTGATGAGTTTGAATTACACATATTTTGTAGCAGTAATTTTTAAAAATTCCATTGTATGGTTAGGTAGGTAAATAAATATATATACATATATATATATAAATACATAGGATGACAGGTAATTTTAACATTATAAGAAAGAGTAATGCCTGAGAGTGAATATAAAAATTAGCGTGATTAAATTCAACAGTTTATAATTTTTGTTGAAGATTAATTGTCATGAAGTAACAAAGGTAGTAAATCTTAAAGCTGCTTGCATCTGATTGCACATAATCAGACCTGATCTCTGGAAATATAAGTTTGCACTGAAAGCAGAAAATCTAAAATTAGCCAAGGTTTTCTTGCTTGGCTCTTGCTGTCCAGCAGTAGTCGGTGTGTGGAAGGGGTACAAAACCCTGACCAGACGAACAGATGATTCTGGCTGATGCATTACTGCCTCATTACTTTGATTATATTCACCACATGCAATTCAGCTGTTCTAGAATTAGTGTTTATGATGTAGTTAGGTTTCATTTTCCCTCAATTTATCCCTTTACCAACTACTTGGATCTTAAAAAGGCAGTGTGTGTGTGATAAACAGGACTGTGGGATGAGGGAAAGGAAAATAGGAACACAGAAAAGATCTTAGCTCTTCAGCTTGCTTGTACAGGCTTTCCTGAAAGGGAATTTCCTGCCCCAGACATTTGTTAGAATACTTTTGCCTTGAACTTGTTTAGGATTTTAGTGGAGTGAGCAGGACCCCCTGAGGGTTTGTGAGACAAGCTGTGAGAGGAGGGCTCTTGGGAAGCACTGACACCTTTTCCTCGGGGAACTGCTGGATTGAACAGAGTTGGGAAGAACCAGAGAAACACTCAGGTGTTTTTACTCATGTCTTTTGCTTTAGTTTTGCCACTGGAATGCTCAGCTCTGCTAATAAGCACAGTTAATGCTTGGTTACTTTACAAATGGTGGATTTTGGGTTGCTGTTTGCTTTAAAGAGCTTTGATAACATTTCTTCTCTTGTTACTGTGATTATAGAAAGGAAGTGGAGCCATTTTAAACACAGTAAAGACCAAGGCTAACCCTGCCATGAAGACTGTCTATAAGTTTGTAAGTATTGAGTACTGGCTTACTACTGAGATAAGAGTCTAATTACGATTCTGGTTTAACCTTCCCAATGAGACTCGACACTTAAATGCATTTTTATTGGACTCACAAAATTACTTAAAATACACATTCATCTAAATTTCAGATTCAAATGGAAAAGTCATTTTGAAATGCAAAGGAGAATGGAAACTTGTGATTTCTTTTGAAAGTATAGATGATAAATTCTATTTATTACTCAGAACTCTTTCTGGGAAATGGTGCCTGTGTGCTCTGCTAAGCAGCTCTACCATCTCATCATTGCTCTGTTGGAAATCATTGTTACCTCAGGTTTCCCTGCTTGCACTTCATCGAAAGAAGGGAATCCTCTCATTTTCCAAATTGTTTCCATCTTTTCTAAATGTCAATTAATTTTCCCCAGAGATTTCTTATACCTGCTCATTTAGACTCCAGCTTACTGAGTTATTCTTTCAATGGCAATGTTTTCAGTCCTGTTAACAAACAGCTGGTGTGTTGCTGTGCTGTCGTGTGTGGCTGCCAGCTCCACTCTGCAAGATCAAACAATGGAGAAACAACTGAGCATTTCTTATGTGCTCAATTTTAGGAAATAATGCTACATAAATCATCGAGATAACTAGCCAGACTTTGGTTTTCTCCTGCCTTCCTGCAGCCTGAGAAAGATGAGTAGGATGAGAATGGCTCTACTAAACTGGCATCCAGAGCACTGCAAGGAGGGGGTTTGCAGGCTCACTGCTGATATTGGAGAATATGAGTTTATAGCAAAGAAAAATACTTAGAGGGGAACACTGAGGCTGTGGAATGCAAAAAGATGAAAGATGTGTATGGCATCAAAACAGGGAAACAAAATTTTTGCAGCAGGGGTGGGTTTTATTTGTTTGGGGTCTTTTTAGCTTTCTGTTTGTTTTAATGTGTTTTCAGTATCCTGTTATATTTTTTGTTGCCATCTTTAGTAACCGAAATCAAACTTAGTCACCACTGGAAATAGAAGGGGATTTTAACTTAAATTAATTTTTCATGCAGGCAAAAGATCATGCGAAAATGGGAATAAAAGAAGTGAAAAACCGCTTGAAGCAAAAGGTACTTGAAGTTCTTATTCCAAATGTATAAGCAGCACGTCTGAAATCCTTAGCCACTGAAAGCACGATGTGATCAATAGGAAGCTGTTTGATACAGTGTTGTTAGCACACTTCAAAATGCATTACCAGCTGTCCCGGATTTTTCCCAGTTATAAATATTCACAGACAAAAAAAAAATTGTCTTCAAATACATTAAGGCTCTGACTTCAACCCACAAAAGCCAGAAAATGCAATGTTGTGTTTGGAGAGGGCCCACTCCTGCCCCTGGTGCTGGGAGTGCAGGAGAGCTGGGTGCTCTTCCCTGCTGCCGGGGCAGGGAACTCTGTGTTCACTGGGGTTGTTCTTACAGTGATCAGTCGGGAAACACGGTGTCCTGTCTGTCTGCCACTGGGAAGGGGGGTCCTGTGTGTCGGGAGAGTCTCCTGCAGAATTCAGACAGAAGGATTTGATAGAGTTGGGGTTCATTTCCAATTGGAATTACCCCAGGAAAAAGTACTGACACTGTTGTTTTCCAAATCCCTGTTTGTTTGTTTGTAAAGAGCACAATTCCAAAAATGCTCAGTTGTGTTTGAAGGATGTGTTATCCAATCCTAATTGCTCCTTTTAAGCCAGAAGTTGCCACTCACCTCATGAATGGGTGGGTAATTCTGTTTATTCTGTGGATCAGAGTCCTGTGGGGAGACAGGACAGCTGACTTGCTGAGAGCATTCGGACAGTTTTGTTCCATTTGCTGCATGGTAGTTTGGGTGGGTTTAATCTGTACTATCTCTGTGAATTCCTCTCTCCCTTTCTAGCCCCCCGTGTTGGGGCAGGGCTGCAGGTGCCCTTCTGGCACAGCCACCAATGCCCCTGAGCCACCCTGCTCCTGCCCAGGGATTGCTGTGCGGGCTCGAGCAGGAGTTACCTCTGGGTGCAGTGCAGCTGCTGCTCCTCTCAATATTCCAGCACATTGCTGGAGAGTCTGGAGCAAGAGAAAGTTGCTTCAGATGCTTTTAATGCCATTTGATTTTATTACACTACATTATGTGCAACCACTTTAGGTATAATTTGAGAATAATAGAAACATGAAGCAGTTTTCTTGTATATGCTTTTTTTTTTTATGTCATTCCATGTGTTTCGTTTCTGGACATAACCTTCATGAATAATAAAATGTTTGGCCTTCTCCTGTGCATTTCTGAAGCAGTTGGAGCTGTGTAACACGACCAGATTTTTTCCTGTATTTTAAATGCTAATAGAATTGTGTGCTGTGGTGTGACATTTGTGTGCGAGGCTGAGCAAAGCCTCATTCGGTCATTGCTTTGTTTTATTAAGGTTGTTGTCCTCCTGGTCTGTCAAGCCACTGGCTTCCTTTTAAAAAACACACAGAACATTTACAACTAAATGGCCCAGTTTTGTTTCACCTTCCTTATTATGTGGTGTTCCTGTAAGTGAGGTGGTGAAACATGATTGTTCAACGTAGGCTTTCACAAGAGCTTAAAAGATTGCTGTGAGTAGTTGGCACACACTGCTCTACCTCCCCTTCCTTCATTATTCTGTCCTTTTCTATCCCATCCTCTTCTCCATGTGAATGCACCAGCAAGGTAACTCTAAAATTAGGGATTGCTCTCTTGAAAGTGATAAAAATAGCAAAAATTGTTTTGGTCACCCTCATTTTTAATCTAAATGTCTGTGCTGCTCCATTATGGGTCTATTATGCACAAGTCTGTTAAAGCATCCTCCCCAATTTTCATCTGAGAACATGGTATTCCTCATGTGTTTACTTACTGGCATGTGCAAGTGTTAACTGTTTGACATTCTGGCATCATTAAGTACTTCATTTTTGCCAAATTTAGGATGGTAGTCTTTCATCTTCTAAGGGTAACCTAAGGTTATTTTTAAACTGAACTTACTATCCACTGCATTTTAACATACTATTTTCCATTATTAATACAGAAAGTATGCAGGCCCCTGGTAAGGAAAAGTCAAATATAAACATCCCTTTTCCAGTTTTCACTGCCAAATCTGAGCAGCTTCTGTACAAGATAGAATTTAAAAATGCAATAAAGCTGGAGGTCTGCTTCCTCCAACTCTGCATAGCAATGGTGACCTCTTAAATATAATCAAGAGCCCATTTTGCCCTTGGTCTGCTCCAGTGTTGGGTTTGAATTGCAAATGAGAAATGCAGGATTGACCTGTTGAGAGGTCACTGTGGTGTGTGTAAGGTCCTTCTTTAATATGATAGTGGAGATTGAATGGGGCTCCATTTCCATCCCTTGTTCATTTGTGGTGCAGTATTTCAAAGCAACAGAAATCGGTTTCAGAGGATTCTTATGAGTGAGAGCAAATAATTGTTAATAGATACAGCCTGGTAGCTTTATTTTATATCTGATACAGTTCTTTTTTCTTTTTTTTTTCCTTTTTTTTTTCTTTTTCTTCCCCCTCCCCCTTTTTTTTTTTTGGCAAAGGCTGCCTTTTTCCATCTCACAAATGGACAGTGGTGGTCCAGTCTCTCCGTTAGTGGCTCATTTGAAGCTTAACTACATAGAATTAGGAAGAAGGAGGAATATGAATGGTACCATCCTCAACTTTCAGCCAGGAGAATGGAACTTACCGAGGGCTCTGGCTAAGACAATTTCTATAAATGGTTGGGCACTTGGCATTAATGTATTCGACATTATTTTAGTCATAGAGCCCTGTGTGGCTCTGGCTAAGGGCTGGTATTGTAGGAACAGCTCATGCAGAGCTTTACAGAACAACCTGCACCAGGACAGTGCCTCTCCACGTTCAGAATGGGGTTTGCTCCTCTAGAGCCAGCGTTTGCAGTGTTTGTAAAAGTCCTCTGGAAAAATTGCTGATGCATATTTACACAGAATATCCCTTTCTCTGAAGTTTCTCCTTTAAAATAAATAGGTAGGAAAGATCTCACCTGAATAGACAGTTGTTGGGGGAAGCATTTCTCGTGGAGGTGTCCAGGAGATCATTTTGGAGTGTGGTAGATCACTGTCATTCTCTTTTTCTGCTAATCTGTCAAGTATCTTCTTTCCTCAGACAAAAGATGGTTTTGGTTTTAATAATACCCTTAAATTACACTTTCTTTCTGTTAAAAGTCACTGAAACATTGCTAGATTTTTGTATTCCTGGAGAATTTGTTCCAGTAATGAGTAACTTTCACCTTCCATTTTTCTCCCAGTTTTTAGGAGGGAGAGATCTCATGGTTTTTGTTGTTGTCCTAAATAACATATATGATTTAAGCTACTTCAGGAATGTCTTGCTGGCTTATACCAATCAGGTGTCAATCCCAGGTCTGCCAGTGGGCTGAAGGACTGTTGTTTCCTTTCCAATTGTAGAAGTTCCAGATGCTTTGACATTTCATAATTTTTATGCTATTGGGAGCCCTTATTTTGGGCATTTAATATCATGTTTCACTGTTTATGTAACTCAGAGGTGACCCAGCTGTCCATCCCTTGGTTGGATCCCCCGCTCTGGCCCCTCTGCAGGGCTGGGCACAGCCCCTCCCAGAGCAGGTCGGGTGCCTGGGCTTGGGCAGCTCTGGGGCTTGAGGCACGTTTCATATGGCTCCACTTGCACAGAAATGTGGGAATAAAGGTTGTGTGTGATGTCATTGCAGTCTGTGGTGCTGCCATGGGTTCTGTGAGTCCAGAACTGAGCAGACCCCTTGGTGGCTTGTTGGGAGCTGCAGGATGAGTTTGACAGACACATTTCTTGTCATTGCATTGTTTTGGGGCTCTTTGTTACTAATTCTGTGGACTTTGCTGTACTTTTTAAAGACGAGGTGCCATTGTGGAGCCAGAGGGCGGGGGGAGGAAAAAGTTTTTCTCTCCAGTTTGACCTTAGCAAGTTGTTAATTCCCCACGATCCTTATGCTCATATTGGGGAACCACTGCTCTACCAGCTGGATCTAAAGAGGGGTCTCAGCTTCTCTGTGGAGCAGACAAAGCCCCTTAGAAAGTCCATCGAGCTTTTTGTTTCATTTGACCTAAACACATTAGGTCAGTGTGTGTCCAAAGGCACCGTTTCTAATTGGCCATCAGCCCACACGGCTCATTATTGTACCTGCGCGCGCCGGGGCCGCGGCCGGGCCGGAGGTCAGCAATCAAAGCTGCCGGTGTCAGCAGCCACCCTTAGGTCGGCCTTGCCGAGCCCCAGCCTGTGCAGCCTCCTCTCGATATTTACCCGCCATTATTTCCCTGGCATTGTTGCAGAGATGTAAAGCTTTGGGCCCCACTGCGCTGCAGACTCTTTCTCAACTCACTTTCAAACTCTTTGCTCCTTGTCTGATTCCTGGTGTCTGCGGGCCTTTGTCTTGTTCAAAACCCGTGTTACGTACCCCGTGCCTGCACTTGCCAGGTCCTCTAACCTAGGCTGGTGGGTCACCTCACTTCTGGAGGAGAGGACTGATGTCAAAGCAAACACAAAAGCCTTCTGTGAGGCAGCAGTTGGTGGTGTACGCTCTCCTGGAGGCACATTCAGTCCACACAGGCTCAAAGATGAAATGAAAGCTAACTAAGCTCCGAGTTCCATCTCTCCTTGCCACTTCCACCAGTAATTGTTCTGCCATGGCTAATTCTGTGCAGTACGTAAATGGAATTACCGTGTTCATTTAGCTTTACAAAAAGCAGAATACCCTGTTCCTGGGCTTCTGTTGAATTTGTTGCTAAAATAGCAAATCTGAGCTATGGTTTTTTCCTCCACGTGCATTTCCTGGCTTTTGCGTGTTCAAGTCAGACGTTTTGTTGACTGTCCCTGTTTGCACCACTGGCACTGGGAGGAGAGAGGGGTTGTGTACAAGCTCTGATGGCCGAACTGCTATGACATGTTTTATTCTAATGATGTTTTCTTTTCTGTACTTTGGTGTTTTTTCTCCCCTGACATCCAAATTGTTAGTCAGCATTCTCCTCTAGTGTGTCCTTTGTGCACCTTGCCCTCACTCAAGAGTGTTCCTGGCCATGCTATTCACCTTTTCCTACCACGCAGGACATTGCTGAGAACGGGTGCTCGGCCGCGCCAGAGGAGTCCCTGCCCAGGACAGCACCCTCACCACTGGGGGAGAAGAAGGACCCTAAATTAAGAGAGGAGAGAAGACCAATCACAGTACATTTTGGGCAGGTAGGTCTCAGTGTCAGGTCTCTTTAAATTGTGTGACTCAGCAAAACCAGTTCAGAGAAAAATCACAGTAACGAAGATGCCAATCGTTTCATTATTTCCACTCGCTGAATTATGTTATCGTAGCTTTAGTTCTGCTGCATCTGTTTAAATGAGAGTCCAAAACCTGATTTTTCTGGGGTTTCTTGATTCCTTTTGTTCCTACGATGATTTTGAAGAAAATAAATTTGAAGCGAATGGGGGGTGAAGCATAATTATTAAAGCAATTTTATAAACTATTTTGTGGTTCTTTCAGCTTGCAAAGGGCTACAGCCCTCAGGACTGAGGGTGTAGAATTTAAAATGTCCTCTGTTATCTTGCCAGATCATTAGTGTCAATATGGAACATCCAACTATTAAAGCATTTGAACAGTCTCTGAAAATTAAATGCGATGAACTAAGATGGAAAAATCAATTAATAGCTTGTTAGTGTACTCTGTATTCGGTATTGACAGCTGAGCTGTTCACATTAGTTACTCGTGTAACGTTTCTTTTGATATGTCTGCAAAACAGTGAGTTTGTGGGGGGTTTTAAGAGCTAGTTATTTAGAAAATGTTGTAGTTTCTGTGATTTTCATGGAAAAACATACAGTATTTATTATCAGTTTGCCAGTGTTCCCCTATTAAGTGTAGCCTGACTCAAAAAATAACATGATTTGTGTTTAGAGTTCTCTTTTCTTTTTCTGTATCTATTCTTTGCACTGTTCTGATCAGAAAGCAGGAAGGAATAGCTGATTTCTTCTAAGGAAGCAAAGTGTAATTTGCAAGCAATTGTAAAACAACATTATAAATTGGGATTTTTAGAGAAATACCTATGAATAGAAACCAGTGGCTGCACTGACTGTTCAGGCATTAGGGCTACATGAGATGATCAGTGCTCAGAGCAGTGTTGTCTGTATCATTTTAGAAATAGATTTATTTCTTTCGGAACTTTCACCACTGTGCTAAATGTAAGTTCTTGAAGACTTTTTGTAAGGCAGATTCTCTTCCAATTAAGTATTTGCAGTAGTGATTTATTTTTCCCTTACTTTCTGTGCCAATACAGTTGAGAGGAATTGGGGCTACTGGAGGAATGCAGCCATCTAGCTCCAGCAGGGACATGTTACATTTCATTTGAAGCAGGCAGAAATCGGATAATATTACAATTTATTTTCAGTTTTTTCTTTAGATTTTTATGAGGGATGGCTGGTTCAAACATTTTGGTAGATTAATGAAATATATATTTGAGTGGTAAGTGCAAATTTACATTCATGAGGTTTCCTAACAGTCACTTTCAAATTTTTTAATGATCCCTTTCTGCGTGTCAAAAGAAACACACATCAGCTCTGCCGGCCCCTGGCTGTGGTGAGAGGCTCGCTGGCCAAATGCTTATTGCTGTCATTGCATTACAAGTGTTGGGCTCCCAAAACTGATGTGACTTAGCAGTTGTAGGGCTCTCCCCCTCCCAGCCTTTGTCCTGGCTCGGCTCTGCTCTTCCTGGTAGCCCGGTGCCAAACGAAAATGCAACCCCCACTTCCATTGGAAAGGAAAAGATGTTCGGGTTTATGAAATATAGATTAAGGCTTTGGGGAGGAAAAAAAAGCAGCAGCATTTACTGGTTAAATGGGAGATGGCTTCTACCTCGTGATTAAAGGCAGCGATTTTAGTGTCACTTGTAACGCTGCCTGGAATGCAGAAGGTGGGAACAATTAAAGAGCCGCGAGCGTCGGCGCTGGGGCTGTTTGTGCGCTCGCAGCCCGGCGAGGCGCAGGATGAAAGCTGCCTGGCCATTGTCCCCGCTGCCTGGCCATTGTCCCCGCTGCCGGGCCATTGTCCCCGCTGCCGGACCATTGTCCCCGCTGCCGGACCATTGTCCCCGCTGCCGGGCCATTGTCCCCGCTGCCGGGCCGTGCCGGGCTGGCACGGGCGCTGGAGATGCGGCAGCGGGTCAGCCCGGCCGGCGGAGCGGGGACAGCTCCGCGCCCGCCGCGCCTCTAATTGAGACGTGCTGTCAAAGTGACAAACACATTTGCATACACTCGATTTATTTTCCTCGGAAAGGTCTGCGGGCTGCTGTTGGTTGAACATTCTTAATCAGCTCGCTGTAAGTGAGCCGGCAGCGAGCTGTCCTGTGCTGGGGGCTTCTCTTCATTACATGACAGATTAGCTAAAGGGGGATGGGCTGGGGAGCCAGCAGCAACCTTTAATTTTAACTCATTATCTCTCACCCTATAGTGAGTGGCTTTCCAGCCTTTCCAAACACAGTTGTGTGTCTGCAGTTGTGAGGCTACAAAAAATATCAGTAAAATACGTTGAAATGCCTTTGGAGGCACAGCACCTCAGCTGATGGTGCACCAAAATTTAGTGGTAATTATCTGGGTGAGATCCCCCAGCTCGTGGCTCATCCTGGCGAGTGGTGATCGGGCATCCTTGGAGAGCCTTCTTTATCATGGAATTGTTTTAATGGTGCTCTCTGTAATACTCAGGCATTGTGGGGAAGCTCTCCTTGATGGTGAAAAGAAGGATTTTAGCCAGATAGCCTGGGGCAGTGCCATAAAGATTTAAACAAAGTGTTCTTAGTAAGACACCAGGAGACCAAGTGGGAGGGTGGGACCACAGCTTTTCTTTGGTGTGCCTTTGTGTGCTTTTCGGTTTCCCCAGGGTGTTCCTTTCCTGTTGACTCTTGGATCAACCAAACACAGGGCTGTCACCACGGACTTCAGGGCAATCCAACTGTACTCAACAAGTAGCAGGAACTGTACAGACCACTCAAGGTTTAATGAGGGGGGAGAACAGGGAACAATTTTCAAGGCAAGGACAAGATTCAAATGAATAGTTTGTAGTACTGAATAGTGCTCTCTATTTTGGGGAAAAGTAAGGTTAATTGTTATGGAAAACCTAATGCTACAGAAAACATCCCTTATGGTGCTGGGTCGATGGTTGGACTTCATGGTCTTGAAGGTCTTTTCCAACCTTAATGATTCCATAAATGTCTTATTACTTGCTTTCTTCTAGTTTTTGTCATAAAAACTGGCCAAGATGTACTTAGAGCATCAGAGCACATGGTGCATATTCAGCTGCCAGGGCTGTCCTTGGGATCCTTCCCAGTGTGCCAGGCAGGGCAGGCACTGGAGTGACCATTGACAGGGCAGAGGGACACTCTAACACAGGTGATGTTTCCTAGTTTCCACACCTCACTCCAGCTCTTTAGGTAGAGTGCACACGTCTGCCTGTGTTGTCTTTGAGCTGTTTGGAGAATAAACACGACACAGAGGCTGTGACTGTTCTGAACACGTGCCCTGTCAAACAAGCAGCTGTTGGGGCTCCTCTGGCAGGACCCACAGGATCACACAGGATGTGCCCAGTCTTCCCACCAGTCTGTGAGAGGGTGTGTGAGCACATGGGGAGAGCCCCAGGGCTTTAAAAACAAACCTACACTTAGGAACGTTCTCCCTCTGGAGCCTTTCCACAATCAGGAGCATGACTGATCTAGTAAAATTAAACCAGCAAATGATAGGCTGCCAGAAACATCACTTGTTGGGAAAGGGAATCATTTCATTAGAAGCAAGTGATCCTGCCAGTTCTGTGCAGTTCTCTAATTGTGTCTGTTATAATTGGAATGTCTTTTGTCAGCCTAGCTGTGTTTATGTTTCTGTGACTTGTTTTTATTTACCAGCAAATAGGATATTTTATTCCATTTTTACACCAAAAGGTAAAGCTTAGCAACATACAAAAGACTCTTGAAGTATGTCTTTGGTGAAGAGATTCAGTCCTGTTACACTCTTGATGCAAACTACAGAGAGTCAGTGCTCTGGGGGTGATGTAGATAACTATGAAACAAAAGGAAAGTACTCTCATGTACTAAAGCAGCTTTAGTCTAACTGTGGAAAGGCTTCTCCAGCTTCTCTTCCCACCTGATCCTGACTGCTGTTAAACTTTTGCAGGCCATAACATGGAAACTGCCATCTTCTTGGCTGTTTTGGTCCCATTTGCTGTAAATGAACGTGTTCATTTTTCCTGTTCACGATCTGCACTTGGACACACAGAGCAAACAGCTCTGCTTTGCAGGGCAGGGCTCTTCTTCCAGGAGATTAAACGGCATTAAGAGGTCAGGGGGAAGATGGGAGAACAGCAGCCAGCTACATTCCAGGAATGCAGCACTGGATGGCTGAGGCCAGAGGCAGCAGAGGAGGGATTATCTCCGGGGTAAAAGGGATGAAGCAGGGAAGGGAGGAAGGCTCCTTTGCCAGACCCTGTGACTCCCTTCACACCCAGGTGCATCGGAACAATAGCAGATTCCCCTGGATCACAGCAGGCATTGTGTGCCACTGAGGTAGAAACCAAAGGGGAAAGGGGAAAACAAGTTCATTTGCTAATATTCATGCAACTGTGTGCTCTGGCTGCAGAGCAGCCTCCTCTCCTGGCCACTCGGGGCTGCTCGGGCAATAGTGGGGCCTTCCTTAGGAACAGGAGCCTCCCTTCCCCTCTGCCCACAGATGAGCAGTGTGGGCTCCCTGTTCCTTTCTGTGCAGCCATGTGGAGTTTCCTCCCTCTCTCCATTTGGTTCTTTATGGATTTAGCAAAAGTATAAGCCTAGTTCTTTAAAATTTTTTTGTCTACAAAAAGCATATCTTCTACCCTCGTTTCTTCCCACTCCTTTCTTTGACTGTTCCTTTCAGGAGGGAATTCAGTTGCTCGGTAAGAGTCACCTTGCAAGAAAGGCACATGGTGTGGTCCAGAAGCACTGGTCCACCTAATGTCTGCTTGAGGCCACTCAGATGTCCCATCAGGTTCCTGGGGGACAGTGTTCTTAGGCAGAGGAGTAAAATCAGTGTCAGTGGACGAGACAATAATGCATTGGATTGAACTCTGCTTTGGGCAGAAATGGCGATCCTGGGGCGGGAGGGACGAACTGAAAGGCCTACACTCCTCATGTGTGTGAATGTGTGTAAATGTGTGCCCAGGGGGCCTGGCACACTCCTCAGGA